AAAAAAAAAAAAAAAAGAAAAGAAAAAAACCTTAGCTATGATCACAACAATCGCCCTTTGGCAGCCAGACCAAAATATTTAAGAAGTAGAAACTGTAATAATAGTAACGTCCCCTTAGGCACTGGGTAAGCACTTGGCAAATCATCATATATAACTTACAACACTGTAGGAGCAGGAATTGGTTTTCTCATTTATGGACAAGTAGATTGACTTTTTAATTTATCCAAGGTCACTCAACTAGTACATGAGTGAGCCAGGACTTGAATCTAGGAATGTCTACTCTATAGACATGAAACATTTCTGGCATTTATGTTTCTTCAGTTCCCTTGACACTGGTACCCCCATGTTATAAAGGGGGAAGTGGGAACCAAGTGGATAGCACCAGGACAAAATCCAGGTTTTCTGAAACTTACTCAGGGTTCTTGCCAAGGCTGGATGAGGAGAAATGGCTGGCTGCTTACTGACCTCCTCCCTGCCTCACCCCACACTCCCATGGCCCAGACATGCTTAGTAGACTTAACACTATGTTCTCCCTTAGAGTGACTGCACCAAGCTGTTCAGCCAAGGCATTGGAGGGGAGCAGGCCCAGGCCAAATTTGAGAGCTGCCTTTCTGACTTGGCTGCTGTTTCCAACAAATTCCAAGACCTTTTGCAGGTAAGTTCCAGATTCAACTGCTAGCTGAATCCTATGCCTTTGTGTTACTCTGAGGGGATTATTAACTGGCTTATCTTGGGCTCCAGTGTGTACAGGAAATGGGGAGGAGGAATGAGGGAGTAGCACACAAGCTTCTGAGCTTACACAAGTCCCTTGAAACTAAAGGCCCTGTTAGTTTTTCTACAGTGAAGCTGTCACATTGCCAAGCCAATGTCTAGTCCTCTAGAACCTCCACTTGGCCTCCACAGTAACAGTAGGCCTTGGAAAAATGATCAGAGGAAATGGAACCACATTGTTGCTCTGACCTGCTGCTTGGCCTTAGCCACAGGTGCCATCTACCAACAGGCACTCTGAAATCTCTTCTTTTGAAAGTTTACCAGAACCACCTCAGGGCCTCATCTCTAGCCTGGACCTGAATCTGCACAGACCTGGAAAGGGATATATTGTTCCTGGCTTCTTTAATTAGCATTATCTCTATTATACTTCTGACAAGGCCTGCAGAATGCCTCAGAGCTGAAAGAATGTCCTGCAGTCATGGGATAAATGAAGAAATGAAAGGGATGGGGGTAGGTGCCTCCTGTGTCTGATGTGTCTCTGCCTTGTCCTTGTGCAGGAAGGGCTGGCAGAACTCAACAGCACAGCAGTCAAGCCACAGGTGCAGCCTTGGATCAACACCTTTCTCTCCGTCTCCCACAACATCGAGGAGGTCAGCCTGGCCACACGTAGCTATCATGCCCAGGATTATCCCTCTATACCCCATCCCCAGCTAGAGCACAGTGGAGCTGCGAGACCCACTTCCTCACTCTTCCCCCTGAAGACTAGGTTCCTCCCAGGAAAGTTTGTTCTTGCAGTGAGAAGGGGTGAGAAGGGCGGAGAAGGGCTCAGAAGGCTATCAGAAGGGAGTTTTGCTTTGACCTGACTCACCCTCTTTTATTGAGGTTCTTGTCCCACCTTTCATAGACTTAGGACCTTTTTTTGTTCTTAGCCTAATGATTTCATTCCTTTAGAATGTGAGATGCAAGAGGGAATAAAATGCCAGGAGCGTTATTGCCCAGGGTGGTTCACTGGTTTTTGCCAGCGTGAGTGGTCAAGCTGGCTTTAAACTGGAAGAGTCAGAAGGAAAGGAAGACCCTGTAACATTATTCTCTTAGACTGGTTGGGGGAAGTGGTGGATGAATGGGTACTACTTAAAAAGAGGCCCATGGTGACCCACCTTGCTTCCTCACTATAGGAAGAATTCAATGACTATGAAGCCAATGACCCTTGGGTACAGCAGTTCATTCTTAACCTGGAGCAGCAAATGGCAGAGTTCAAGGTGAACAGGAGCTTCAAGGGTCAGCTTATGGGATTCCCCACCTCTGCCCAAACTAGCAGCCTGTGGCTTCTCATCACATTCCTGCTGGGGACCCTAAAAGCCTTTCCAACCCTAGCCTGTACAAACACTTCCCCTTGGCCTCATGTAACTGTCCCATCCCCTGAAGACTCCAGCATAGAGGCAGAGGGGACTCCCACTGACGTCAAGCCTCTGTGTGCAGGCCAGCCTGTCTCCAATCATCTATGATAGCCTGACTGGCCTTATGACCAACCTTGTTGCCGTCGAGTTGGAGAGAGTAGTGCTGAAATCCACCTTCAACCGGGTAAGGTCAAGGGGGCACAGCTCTATCATTTCTCCTCTAAAGATAAGTGATGCTGCCACCCCAGGACTTCTTTCCCCACTGTGTGCTATCCATAGGCCCTGCACATCTAGGCCCAGTCCCATTCTGGCTTCTGAGGCCTTAGATCTAACTGCAACTACATATACAATACCATGTAAGGCCCAGCCAGCCTTGCCACCCAGCTATGAGGGCAACTGAAAGTGTTTCTGCTTGGCCAGAGGGCCAGGCTTTAAACAGCATAACTGGCTTATGTTCTTCGGCAGTTGGGCGGTCTGCAGTTTGACAAGGAGCTGAGGTCACTTATTGCCTACCTTACCACGGTGACCACCTGGACCATCCGAGACAAGTTTGCTCGGCTCTCCCAAATGGCCACAATCCTCAATCTGGAACGGGTATGTGGGACTCCCTTGGCCTAGCCAAGGAAAGGTGACTGGAAAGCAGGCCAAAGATAAAATTTGGATCCTTGCCACTCCCTGCAAACCATGGGTCTGGCAGCAGCCACCCCTGCAGGGCACCTTCCCCTTCCTGGTTACCCCTGCTTTGCCTCTAATGAGGTCCAGGGCCTTCTTTCAGGATAGCCCTGACCTTGCCAACAGGTCTCTACATTCTTACCTACAGGTCACCGAGATCCTAGATTACTGGGGTGCCAACTCTGGCCCATTGACATGGCGCCTCACCCCTGCTGAAGTACGCCAGGTGCTGGCTCTACGCATAGACTTCCGCAGTGAGGACATCAAGAGGCTGCGCCTGTAGCACCCAGGGTGAGCTCACCTGGCCCATCACACTTCCAGGTTATCCCTAAGTGGTCATAGCCAAGTTGCTGAGCAAGACTGTCTGGCTTAAGGGAACTCTGACCACCCAGACTGTACCATGGCTGGCAGCAAAGAAACAAGGCCTAGACTCACTCCTGCTCTACCCTCAGACCTAGCTAGGTGATGCTTTAGGGGCAGCCTTTTCCCACCAAGAGAGAGGTGACAACAACTCATTAGGTGGGAAATTTTAGGCAGGCAGCATGCACCCCAGGCCTACCTTTTGTATGGCCCTCAAACACTACAACATGCTGCCCCTGCCAGGCTTAGACTTGGGTACATCTGGGGGCCTGGGAATTAGGTTTGACTCTGAGGAAAGACTGTAATGTTTATGATCCCTGAATAAAGACATTCATGGAGAGATGCCAGTGTACTATTTCCAGGGAAGGCTGGGTGCTTCGGGCCCAGACAGGTCCACCAGTTAGTTAGTTGCACTGAAATGTGAAGGCAAACCCTAGAGCCCCCGCCTGTGCCACGCCTGGAGTAGTGCGCAGCTGCTCCAGGCCCCACATGAGCAGAAGCCTCATCCAGTCCTGAACCCTCAGCTCCACAAGCTGGATCATCCTGGAGGCAGTTTCCCATAGTGCCAATGGAAGTGGTAATTGCTCCCAATAAGAACAAAAAATACTTATAAGGACAACCTAGAAGGGCAATGAATTTATTCCAAGAATGTCATAATCCTGAGAACCCACTGCCCAAAAGGCATCAGGTCACTTGGTACAGTCCTTACTTAGTGTTGCTGGTTAAGGCCTGGGTTGGCAGTGACTTGTTGGCTCACTGCCACAGACTTGGCACCCTCACCCTCTCATGAGGGTTGAGCACAATGTCTCTACAACTCTTAAGAAAGGCCGCAGGAAATGCCTCAAAGGCCTCTTCAGGGCTGGCCTTACCATATGCTAAGGCTGGTTGTCATCTTTTTCCAGGGCCCTCGTGGAAAGTGAGAAGACCCACTGGGCTGTGGAGTTTGTAAAGGCCACATGGGACACTAAGCTTAGGACCTGATGTCCAAAGAGAAGAGAGGCCAAGAGTAGGCTGCTAACAGCCAGGTCACAGGAGAGCACTGTCTCTGCTTGCCCTAGTCTTCCTCAGGTCTTTAGGAGCAGATTCGCAGAGGTGGGTGAGGGGTAGGAGGCTGAAAGCTCCCATGGGTAAAGGAGGGGGAAGGGGTCACTGTAGCTCCAAGTTTTCTTACAATGAGGGGCCAGCCTCATGGGAATGGGCATTAGGGTGAGGCCTCACTCCCCAGCAACTTCAGGCTCAGGCCCTGAGTATCCACTTCTACCAGGTGGATGCTGCAATTTCCAAGACCCTGGACAAGATAGGACATGATTGGTGTTTAGAGAAATGGGAAAAATTTCAGGCCTTCTGGAGGCTGGACTGAGGCTGCAGGGCCGGAGAGACTTGCAGATATAGCCCTGGTTAGCTGGTGGGCTACACTGAGGTCTCTTGTCCCCACCAACCACCAACCCCAACAACCATCAAGTACCTCAGTATTGGCCAGCACCATCTCCAGAGCTGCCTTTTGCCGCGGCTCCTTGGTCAACACATAGAGAAAGCCCCCACCGCCTGCCCCTGCCAGGCTTTGGCCATACACGTGAGGGACCAGAACATCCATCAGACGCCGCACAGCCAGGGGCTCACAGCCTGGTGCCATGAGCTTCTTCTGCTCCCAGTATGAGGTCAGGCACTGGCCCAGCAGAGGCAGGCTTCCTGAGGTGAGGGCAGAGAGGGGAGTGGTGTCCCTAGGCCAAGATACTCAACACCCAACTGTAGATTGAATGAAGAACCAAGAGCAGCACCTGTGGCTCAGTGAGTAGGGGGCCAGCCCCATATACCTAGGGTAGCGGGTTCAAACCCGGCCCTGGCCAAACTGCAACAAAAAATAGCTGGGCATTGTGGCAGGCACTTATAGTCCCAGCTACTTGGGAGACTGAGGCAAGAGAATTGCCTAAGCCTAAGAGCTAGAGGTTGCTATGAGCTGTGATGTCCCGAGTCTCTACTGAGGGCAACAAAGTGAGATTGTCTCTAAAAAAAAATGAAGAACCAAGAGGCACTATTGACCCAGTGTAATGGTTAAGAACCCGGGTTCCAGTGCTAGCTGGAGACAGGAGTAATACAGCCCACTTCAGAGTTGCTTAAGGACGAATGTGCATAAAGCCCAGCACAGTTGGTGTTCAGTGAACTGCGCAGCCACACACTGGGACCCCTGCTCAGCTCTGACTTCCTGGAACTCAGCTATGGCCTGTTCCCCCACCTGCTTTTGTCAGGTGGGGCTAGAGGGCCTTTACCACGATACGAGTTTTGTCTTGAGTTTTTTTCACAGCTCTTGCCCAAGTCTGAGACCCCAGAGATGACAGACAATAGACATCTGTTCCCAAGGGCCTAATATCTGGGCCCTGTGCCAAGCTGTAAATGACCCTGGCCTCTGGACTCCCACAAGCTCTGGTTCCTAATGCCCTGACCCACCCTGGAAGAAGCATGTCACCTTGGCGGAAGGCATCAGCACATTGCTCAGTTTGCCGCACCAGGTTGTGAGCATTCTGAACCACAGCAGGCAGCCGGGCGTACCAGCTTCTCAGCACATCCTGTAGATGAGGCGGGAGAGAGAGGTGCACTGAAGATCTGGACTAAACTAAGCCATCTGCCTCCCTCCCTCATTCTGGGGCTAGGGCTCACCTGCAGCAAATTCCGTGCCAGGCGGGTCTTGCCAGTGTACACCAGAAGCAGGTGGTCACTGAGCTTCTGGACAAAGCCCTCAGGCACAGTGATCTTTTCCACCTCTACCTTCAGTGGCAGCTGAGCCTGGGAGCGACCCACCTTGATGCCAGGCATTAGGCCACCCACTTGATCCTGCCAGCCACCTCCTGCAAGCCCAGGGCCCCGTCACTGTCGGAACTATTGGGCACAACTGCACTCTCCCTTGCACCCCTGGTGGGACCAGCATGGAAAGAAAAGATAGCTTCCCCCAACTCATTGGGACAGGTGAGGTATGTAGCTTCTGTTTCCAGTAAGGGAAAGGACTTCACTCAAGAGCCAAGGTTGGAATCCTCAAGGCCTGAATTTTATTGCAGACCTAATGTGTAACTGGAATTGAGATAAACCACATCAAAAGATAAAGATTTTACACTAAACCTCCGAGACTCCCTAGGGGAGTTTTAGCCACAGGAAAAGTGATACAGGACTTCCCTATCACCTAAGTCCTCCTGCACCCTATCTTTTCTGATACATAATGTTTATGTTGGAAAGCGGCTTTTCAGCATCCCTTATCTTTCTCCATCTTGAAAGAGCTTGTTTACATCTTCCTTTAAAATGAAAGTATGGATCTCTTTGCCCCCCCCCCCCCAGCTATATAAAATGATAAAACTTGAGCTCCCTTACAGACAAGGCTATGATATTTGGGAAAGGGCCTGCAAGGATTTAAAAGTATAAAATCCAAACAGCCAGAGGCATCTGGAACTTTACAGCCAAAACGTAGCATAGGGCCCAGTTGTGCCCCTTTCCTTCAGAGTACTTGGTGCAGTTTGTAATCACACCTTTACTAGGTGGTTATTAATTTCTGTCTCCCATGGACCATGTCTGAAGAAAACAAGGACCGTATTTTTTTTTTTTTCATTTTATCTCCAGGACCCAAGAGTCAGATTTTCAATAAAAAGTTGTCAGTTGACCAAGTGAAGAACTTGTACGGTACACCTCAAAAGAAAACTGAAAAAGCCTCCCACCTATTTCTTTTGCTAATGACTACCTACTGTAGGATGTGAATCATAACAGAAGGAGGAGACTAGGCTGCAAAGTAACGAGACATCTGTATGTCTTTGCAGCAGTTTCCTCCCAGAGTCATGCTGCAGATGAGGCCTGGCAACCTGAGACAGGCAGGGTGCCCCAGGACCTGGGACCAGACAAACCTCTGGCTACTCTGTACTGCACATGGATTCCCGAAAGGCCACAGTGGTCAGGAAGAGAGAGAAGCCTGGTCCTAGTAACATTCATCAGATCATAGCCATTTGGGGGCTCTCACTGCTCCACTATATGGCTGGAGAGGGGGGTAGGAGGCACAGATAATCATAGCCCAAGGGAAGGACATGGTCCCAGAAGGGGAGGCTGAAAGTCCAAACCAGCCCTGCCTGGCCTTGTCCAGGGATAGCCCTGGATGGGGGCAGAGTCACCTGGTACCAGCCAGTGCCTAACATGAAAGGTGCAGTGCAGAATCTGGCATTCAGTAGGTGCTCATAAAACATCAGCTCATTGAGATAGAACATTTCAAGCTGAAAACCATCAGAGAAGGTCGCAGTAATAAGCAAATATAACTATTTTAAGGAATAGTACAGTTATGTGGCTGTTCACCAATCATATCCAAATCCAGGGGAACCCTACAAGCCCTTGGGAAAGTGCCAGAGACCTCCTCCCCAGGCCCAGAGCAGCCCCGTACCTGTGGTGAGCACCTGCTCCAGGTGCAGCACCGCGTGGATCAAGGCCTCCGTGCTCATTGCCCGGCCAGCAGCCCGCTGCAAGGCAGCCAGGGCGGCACCTGCCAAGATGCTGCTGGTGCCTGCCAGGTGTGAAGGGGGGGCACCAGGTGTGACACATCTATACCCAGCCTCATCTGCCCCACTCCCCTCAGGGCAGAGGCCAGGGAGGGGGATTGCAGGTGAGACTGGAGGGCTGTAACAGTGAATGGGTAGCAAGGGACAGGATCTGCTCACCGAGGCCAGAGCCATGGGGCAGCTCAGACCAGGTGTGCAGCTCAAAGCCACCCCCAAAGCTGCGGAGCAGCTGCTCACTCAGCGGGAGTTCGGAGTGGACACACACAATCCCTGCACAAATGAAGGCTGCCTTCAGCAGGGCACCTGCAGAGGGACAGGCACACAGCAAGGAATTTGGTCTCCACAGGCAGATGGAGACTCCACACCCCCACTATTTCCCAGTCCAGTGCAGGGCTCATCTGGTGGGATAAAAGGCCAGCAGCAGTAAAGGCCCCATCCCCAAACCACAAAATGGCTATGGGGTCCTTAACATGGAAAAATGTGTCATTTCTATTTCCTGTGTCTGCATGTGCCTCAACAAAGTAACATCCAGTCCTTTCCTTTCCTTCAGGGTCCCTCCACCAGATTGGCCACCATCAGGCCAGGTCCCAGTTATCTACAGTCCTTTGTGGAGGGGGGTCTCTAGGTTCTGTCCCTACCCCAGCTGGCTATGTTTGCCATCCCCACCTGCCAATTCCTGGGGTGCCCTGACCTGGGGCATGGGGCTGGCAGTAATCCTGCAGGTCATCCAGGCTCTGGCACGGTATCTTCATGTCCATTTTGTCCTGCCGAGACCCCACTGCCAGCCACAGCATAGGCTCCAGGATGCGGCGTGCCCTGGCCCCAATGGGCCGGCGGCCATCCACTTGCACAGCCAAGCCCAGCACAGCCCCACCGAGTTCATAGGCAAGGGGTGGGGTGTCACTCCAGCCCCCTATGGCAGTTCAGTAAGACCAAGCTGGGTCAGGGGGCTGCCAGCTTAGCTCTGGGGCAGCCACCCTCACCCCTACTCACCAGAGAAATCTACACGGGCTGGGCACTCAGCTACCACCCACTGCCCAGGTGCCAGCAGCTCCACTGGCTCCGTGGAGACAAAGTGCTGGGCTGACTTCACAGCCTGGCGGATCAGGATCTGCCCAGCCCCCTCGTAATGGCGGGCTGCTCGCACCAACAAGGCCGGCCTGCCACAAGGAAAGGGAGAGACAGCTGCATGGAAACACAGGCTAGGGCTGGACTGCCTGGCTTTAGGGATGTGACTGTCCTAGATGACCCAAACACACCCTGCCTTTCTCTGGGCTTCCAACATCAGGGGCCACTTGTCTAGACAGCTGGGGACTTCTCAAAGGGATCGTACTTCCATCAGCACCCACCTGCTCAGCCACTTGTCCCTCTCCTGGGCAAGTGCCTCTACACCACCTGCCAGGTCTCCGCACTCCAGGTAGGAGAAGGGCCGCATCCACTCAGGGTTGGCAGCTGGCCCACTCCGTAAGCCCCCACAGCCCTCTGCCATGCAGCCCAGTACATCTGCCACACAGGCCAGTGCCCGTGCCGCCACACCAGGGTTTCCTGCTGCAGCTGCAACTGAGGAACCAGGAGTCAGGGTGGCAAAGGAAGGGGCCTACCCCAACACCCTCTGCCCTCAGAGACTACACAAGATATATCCTTGTCTGTAAATGCACCCACTTTCTGCCTGGTAAAGCTCTTCTAATCTTGCCAGCCCCAGCCCAAAAGTACTTCTTCATTCCCACTAAGGGTGCCCAGAGTGGTTAACAGCTCAGGCTCTGGAGTCAAACCATAAGGGCTCAAATCTCAGCCTCACCGCCAGTTAGCTGTGTGGCTTTGGGAAAGTGATTTGAACAGAGACAATAATTCACAGTCCCTGGGAGCATTCACGAGATGCTGCTTATCAGGCTAAGGCTCTGAGCCCCATGCAGTGTGCCTGTGACCTCAGGAAGAGTGGCCACATCCCCTGGGTGCTCTGCTGTAGCTCTGTACCAACATCCTGGCATACAATACAGAACATGCAGGTTTACCAATGTTCACAGGACCCAGAGGCCTCAACCACTAAACTTGGAAACCTCAAAATAAACTCCACCGTGTCTCACTACTTTAGCACCTCAAGCCTCCCTTGTCCCATCAGGTTGATGGTCCAAAAGGCAGGTAGGGCAGGTGACCCTAGTCTGATCGCCCAGCAGTAATGGCCAGCACACTTACCCTGGTCCAGTGTGGCCAGCAGGGGCCCAGGACAGCCCTCTCGGACAGCAGCCTGGATCAGTGGGCGCAGGCTCAGGTCCTGCTGGGCCTCTAGCACATGCCGTGCCTTATTCAGGGCCTGAAGGAAGAACAGGTCCCGGCGGGAGGCCAGCGTGGCAGCCCGGTCCAGGCATAGCTGTAGCTGTTCCCAAGACAGGCGCCAGGAGGCACGCCAGGCCCGCAGGGCTGCACCCCCATCCTCTGGCGGGTCCAGCATCCACAGCATGTCTTGGGGCCCCAGGGCCCTTGAGGGGTGAAGCACAGGGAAGAGGCGGGCACTGAGAAGGCAGCGCTCTGCAGGGGGCATGTCCGGGTCCCACAGGTCCCAGTCTCTGACATGGGGAGAAGTCACATTAGCAGGAGGGAAACTCTGACACATCTGTCAATTCAGGGACAAACTTCTCCAGAGGCAGCACAGTGGGCAATTTGGGGAGGAAGGCCAAGCTGCCTTGCCTCCTTCCCCAGGCCACTAAGCAAGAATCCCAAAGTCTAAGCATAGCGAGGGATTTGAAGTTCCCCCAGCAGGAAAGTGCTGGAGTGAATCAAGTTGCCAAAACCACCCCAAGCCCAGTGGATGGTAGGGGGCTGGTGCTCCTCCAGAGCAGGGGGAAGGGTATGTGTCTAAGAGAGGCCACCCCTAGCTGCCCAGTTTAGGCCATGGACCTCACCGAATGCCTGTCCTCTTGAAGAATTCCCTCCAGGACATGTTGAGATATGTGCCTGCCCCCTGTCTCTGGGAGAAGAGGAGGAAGTGATCAGGGCTGAGGAGGCCACGGAAAGGGCTTAGGATGCTCAGCCAGAGGGCTGGGAGCTGCTTCCAGGAGGACAAGAAGAGAGACACAGCACATACTGGAGCAAGTTGGGACACACTGCTTCAAGCCCTTGGAGCCTCAATACTCTTACCTGGGGGCTAGCATTTGGAGCACAATCCTGGGTTCCAGGCCCAATCTGCCATGACTGCCTCTGTGGCCCAAGGCAGGTCACCTCCCTCTCTGAACCTCAGTCTCCAGCCTGTAAACTGGCGATAAAATCCCTACCCAGCCCACCTCAAAGAGCAGATGAGAGCAGCAAGGCAAAGGCCTGTTGAGACTCCACTGGCCATACCCTCCTCACAGTCCAATCCCTCTGCCAGGGCCCAGAGTGGGGTGGGAGCCAGGACACCCTAGGGCTTCCCCAAGCCTGCAGAGGGGGTATATAGGAGGGGCACCTACCTCCCAGCTGTCCAGACGTCCAGCGAGAGTGAAGGTACGGCCTGGGGAGCCATGTAGTCGTATGTGGTGTCCTTGAAGGACAAGGTCATGAAGCTCCAAGCCACGCAATGCCTTAGACTGGGCTGTGTCAAGGCCATTCAAGAAGCAGCCAGCACCAATGTGAATTGGGCCCTGGCAGGGAAGAGGGCAGGTGTCCTGGGAGGGCAGGCACCCAGCACCCCCAACACATACAATGCTAGTGCCCTGGCCCCCACCTGCCTACCCTTGTTCTCAGGCCTCACCTGCAGGTGGCAGTGCTGCAGGACACTCCCAGGACCCAGTTGGATGGGGCCCTCCAGCAGGCAGCTGACCACGGAGCTCCCAGCAGCCAGGAGCTGCAGCTCCTGTGCAGCCAGAAGAGGAGGACGTGAGGGCCAAGGGTAGGGGTTGCCTGACCATCCTCTAGAGTCCAGCATCGGGGTGTAGAGCGTCAAGGCCTGCTCCTCTCTATGCCTTTCTGCCAGCCAGATCCTCTCCAGACTTGCCCTGGCCCCCGCCTGAGGCTTCTTCTCATCACCCCCGTCCAGCTCTCCCCACCCCAGCCACCCCAATGGCCACCTCATATTCTGCCTGCCTCCTTCCTCAGCACCAGGGCACAGACACAGGCCCACCACCTCAAATGTGCCTGTCTCCCCAAGCAGACCCGCAGAAAGGTCTTCTTTAGCTTCTCAATCAGACAGACCTAGATACAGAATCCTGACTTGGCCACTTACTGGCTCTGTGAGCTTCTCTGAGCTACTTAGCCTCTTTGAGCCTCTGTCTCCTGGGGATAATAATACCCACACTCAGGTACTCTGTTCCAAGCATGGGCTATTCCCTACCCTGGAGCTCCCAGCCCACCTGAACCCAGGCACCCAATAGCCACCTCTGAGGGGCAAGGAGGTCTTACCTCTACCTGGGAGTGCACAATCTGGGCCCTGGGAGCCCTAGGGAGTGTGAGGCTCTGCAGGAACTCACTGGCTGAGGAGGTCATGTAGCTGTAGCTGCCGTTGGGGACATAAGCTGTAAAGACACAAGTACTGACCCCAACACAATGTCTGCTGCAGCTCAGGTGCCAGGCAGACCTCCCCTGGCAGACACTAGGCAGGCAGGCAGAGTGATGTTAGGCCCTGACAAAGGGAAGCTGAGGTCCAGAGGTTGTTTAGCAACCTGCCCAATGCCCCACAGCTAGAAAGTGGATGCACTGGGATTGGAGCCCAGGAATGAGGCAGAAGGAAGACAGGAAGAAAGTGAGCTCAGAGGCCTCTCCAGCCCAGAGAGCCAAGAGGCAGTACCTACCCATGGTGAGGGGCTGATCGCGAAGCTCCCTCCATAGCTGGGCCCGGGCACTCTGCAGATATCCTGCAACATCCGCTCCACCTTGCCCCAGCTCCGGGGGCCGCCCCACCAGGAAATCCTCTTGGCTCACATTCTGAGCCATGCAGAGCAGGATGTCAAAAAATAGAGACAGCTGGAATAAGGGTAAAAAGCACAGCTATTGGCAGCGCAGGGGTTGGGCCCTAAAGTTCCAAGACTGAGCTGGGGCAGCATCATCCTCAGAGACTCTACCCAAAAAGAGAAAGGGGCTGACTGAGGTCACACAGCACCTCGCTCCTAGTTCAAGGCCCCCTAGTTACCCTTCCCAGTCACCTGAACAGGCTGGGCTCCAGAGTCCAAGCCCATGTAGGTGCAGGCATCCAGGGGCGGGCTCACATGGGTGGCTAGGAGGTGCTCAGCAGTCTCCACAGAGAAGAAGACAACCCCAGAGACCTGGAGGGCCCCCAAAGGGTCAGGACAGGGGCCTTGGGACAGGCCTGGGCACAAGTCGAAGAGGACACATGCAGGTGGGCCAAGCAGGGCCACACCAGGCAGGGCCCTGGTCTCTGAGCCACTCCAGACTTACTTTGGGCAGCTCCCATCAAGGCACCTTTTGGAACACCCTTCACCTCAGGCCTTCTCCCAAACCTATTTTTCTGTCTTCCCCATCAGGGTCTAGTCCTGGATATTCCCACCACTCCCATCCTGGTCCTTCATTCTGGAAACATTCCCCAAGTCTGGTTCTAGATCTCCTGACTACAATCCCTGCGTTGCTCACATTCAGGTTCCAGGTTCTGAGGTTTAGGACAAGACCTTGAATTGCAAAACTACCCCTTCCTCAGATGCTGCCTCCATCTGCTCATCTGGATGCTAGTTGCAGATCTTCCTCAGATTCTGCATCTAACGTGTCCTGGAATCTTCTAGGAGTGGGGCTACCTCTGGAGGGAAAGCTGACCTTCTCTCCCTGTCCCATAAGGACCCCAAAGACCCCCAACCTGGGCCCAGCAGCCATACCAGTGGCACTTGCCCATCAGGCCTGGCACACCGTTGAATCTCTGCCTCGGTGCCCTGGTAGTAAATATCCAACACCAGGCCCTGTGTCAAGGGAGAAAAGAGATAAGGAAGAGCAAGAAAGGATCCAGGAGGCTACAGCCACAGGTGCCAGCAAGGGACTTCTCCAAATAAAAACTCAGGACTCAAGTCTGGGAGGTGCCAGACTCAGGGATGCAAGTATCTAAGACTTCTGCTCTGTGACAGTGGAGGGCAACCTTTAAATGTTTTCACAGCCTCTGAGCCTGAGCACACAGCTTGGTGGTCAGTGTGAAGTGAATTTTTAGCAAAAGAATAAGTGACCTCCAGAGCTGTTGCCATGAAGGAAACTCCTCAAGACTCAAAATCCAGGATGAGAGGTTGCCCAATGCACAGGGCTGGAAGGCCACCCTGGGCCAGCTCAGCCACCCATGCCGCTGCCCCCAGAGGTCCTACCTGGGAGTCAGCAAGGTAGACACCATGATTCCGAGCATAGGTGGGTGTCCCTGGAAGAGCGATCACTCTGGCTCCCTGGAAGCCATCCCAGGTGATCCCTGTAAGGTGAGGCACTCAGGAGGCTGCCAAAAGACCCAAACGAAGACAGGGAGTCCCCAGCCAGGACTTAAGATCCCAAGGCTGGGGCGTTTAGGTGCCTCTAAAAGGGAAATATGGTTTCCAAAGCTAAATGGACATTCATCTAAGGGAATGACTACCCTCTTCTCCCGCAGTTCTTCCATAAAGCTGTGAGGGGCAGAAGGGCAGGGAAATTTAAATCCGTTCTACAGACAGGCAGACTGAGGCCCAGCAGAGGAAGCCCTGCCTCTTGGTCTGGGCTTCATTTTCCACATCCTACAGCTTCCTATCTGAAGAGGGCAGGGGGCTGGGCCCAGAGACAGAGTAGGCAAGAAAGGCAGAACTAGCTTCTCACTGCAGGGGAGGGAAGGAGATACCAGGCCATCTCATGCTCACCAAGATTTGGAGGCACAGACAGCAGCATGTCCGTGCTACAGACCCACACGCCTGGCGGGGAGCCTGGACCCAGCTGCAGGATGTAGGGGAGAAAGAACAGACCCATAGCTGGTACCTGACCCAGCTTTTTCTCTGCTCTCCCCTAGTCCAATCTCAGCCTGGCCTGTTCATGTCCCCACATCCACCCTACCCAAGAGCCCTGCACTGCTGAAGTAACCTCCAAGGGAACAACTAGTCTCAGTTGCATTGGGGAAGGTGTGTCCAGGTGTGGCTCCTCATCGGACCAGGAGCCACACCTTCCCCCAAAATCACTGAGACTAATTTTTGAAGCTCTAACTTTAGGTGCCCCCAAAACCATTCCTCCTGGGGCCCCCCAGCTGAGCCAGCACAGACTACAGCTGGGTGCACAGTGGGAGAGAAGTGGCTCTATCTGGGACAAGGCCCCAGGGGCCATTGCCTGGCCTCACCCGATAGGTCATGATGTCCAACAAGCAGTCCAGGTTGTAGACCAGGGCTTCCACAGGGGCCTGGGGATCCTCCATAGGGAGACAGGTGAAGGCTCGGCCACAGTCATCAAAGGGGAAGTCTCGGCCCTGTGGGGTGAGGGAGTCTGTGAGGCTGAGAGCCTGGGGCCACCTCATTAGTTGTGCAGATGGAGCACAGAGAATAGGGAACGAATGACAAAAAATGTTTTCTTGGTGTTTCCTTTCATAATTTTTAAAATTAACATGATTATATATGGCTTAGGGCCTGTGGTTCAGCAGCTAGGGTGCTGGCTGGTTCGAATCCAGCCTGGGCCTGCCAAACAACAATAACAATTACAATAAAATAACAGCCGGGTGTTGTGGCAGGCACCTGTAGTCCCAGCTACTTGGGAGGCTGAGGCAAGAGAATTGCTTAAGCTCAAGAGTTGGAGGTTGCTGTGAGCTGTGATGCCATAGCACTCTACCCAGGACAACATAGTGAGACTCTGTCTCAAATTAAAAAAAAAAAAA